AGCACTAATTCTGATTGGTCTTAATAATAAAAACCTAGTTTCAGATATAGGGGTAAATACTGAAAGGTCAGAGAGACAAAGGAGCAAGTCACAGCCATCTCTTACTTGCCAACTCCTGCCTCCTCCCACCTTATATTCCTCTCTCAGCCATATCACTTCCTGTTTCCTCCTCCCAAGTGCTGGGATTAAAGGTGTGAGCCACCACTACCTAGCCTCTAAGGTTAACTAGTGGCTAGCTCCACACTCTGATCTCCAGGAAAGATTTATTTGTTAGAGCACAAACAAAATATCACATTTCCCTTTTTTTTGTCTAAAATTTAAAAAAGGTCACAACTAATATAAGAAAAACTATATACACTAACTACAATAACTCTATACAATATGCAAGGCAATAAATACATCAATGATATCTAGTCCATTAACAATTACAAATTCAGAGAAAATATCCTTATTTATCATATCTTGGTGAGTCTAGAAGGTTGCACCTAATTCACTTTCTATTCTAACTTGCATTATCCAAACTATCTTTTTATGTCTCTCAACCTTACACACTTTACATTTCTTTAGTGAATTTCTTTTCTGAATCTGGTAACAAAGAAAACTATAACTATAAAGTCTTCAGCTCCATCAGAGACCAGAGCAGGAAGTGCAAGCAAGTGACTTCCAAAGAACAAGAGAAATGATAGAAACAGCTGATTGCTTGACAGTCACCCAAAGTTCCTCTGCAGTGTTGGGGCATCAATCTTTGGCCTGCAGGCCTGGCATATTGGACAGACTTTTCTTCCAAGTAGGATATTCTGATTTTCTCATTCAAGGTTTCCTCTTCTCAGATAACTATAGTTTATATGGAGTTGTCATAAATTAGCCAGCACAAATACCAACATCCTTTGTCTTTTATGCAGACATTATTTGTGAATAATCTACTGAACATCTACTCCACTAAACTATTATTTTTTTTATTAGACTTGATCCCCCACATCTGACTCCCATTCCTGTCATCCCCTCCACTTTACTATTTCAAGTAACTCAGAGGGTTAGACTATGTAGCCTAGCCTCGTTACTGAGATAAGTAAGCAAACGAGCAATCCCACTTACCCAGCAGGCACTCCTATGTGACTGAGAATCTCTGACTGCTCCTGTGCTCACACTGAAATCATGGCATAGCTTGATGTTTTCAACTTAGAAAACCCTGATGATAAAAATACAACTTTCTTCCATGGAATAAATCATAAAAATTTAATCTTGGCAATTTTCTTCCAACTTAATTTTTATTTTTGAAATAGGTCTTTGCATCTTTCTTTTGAAAAATGTAACAGTTATGGTCACCTTTGGAGAAGTGGTTCTGTTTTGTAGCTTGAGGACATTGTATGGACATTCACCACTGAGATGCAGTTTGACACTAAGTACAGCAAAGATCTTTTCTGAAGATGGGGAGTGTTTGTAATGCTATCACATTTATATGTTAGGATAATTTTGCTCTGCATGATTTTCCTACATTGTACAGGGAAATAAACAAACTCAGAGCTATTTGGGATTGATTTCTGCTTTATTCTGGTAGATTCCCCTGATTTGCGACTCCAGGGATCCTTTTTTTCTGTAGCCATGACCAACCTGTCTTCTGCATCTCTATGTCTAGCTCCCTCCCTGTCTTTAGAGGGTGAGCAGGCTAGGGGGCCACTGGGTGTATGCAGAGGGGTTCCCATGAAGGTTAGGATAGGTGGCCAGGGTTGTTCTTCCTCTACCAAGTGGTAGTAGAGGGCCAGAGAAGGAAAAATAAGTTAAAAAAATTGCCACTGTTACTTTAAAAAAATATTTTATTTTCTGCATATGGGTATGTCTTTGTACCATGTTCATACCTGGTTCCCTTGGAGATATCCTTGGAGCTGGCATTATGGATGATTGTGAGCCACCATGCAGGTACTGGGAACTGAACCCTGGTCCTTTATGAGAGTGAGAAACGTCCTTAGCTGCTAAGCCATCTCTCCAGTTCCTGCCTTAGTTTTTTAAAGAAACATTTTAAGTTTTCATAGTTGACTTAGGTTCACAGAAAAATTAATGGAAGGTGTAGAATTTTCCCTCCCTTCTGTAAACCCAGCGTCCTCCACTGTTAACAAGCCCCGCCAGAGTAATGTGTGTGGACCAGCTGATGGACCTATTTATATTTTAGCATCACCCAGACTACATCATTTAAGATGCTCTTTTGTTGGGTTGCAGTCTTAGACCAGTATGACCTTTGTCTGCCACCATAGTACCCTGTGTCCTAAGCCGACTATGTTCTGCCTCTTCAGTCCTCCCCCAGTCCTTCCTGGAAACCTCTGATCCTTTGAGAGTCTCCATAGGTTTTCACTTTCAAGAATATGACAGGGTTGGAATCCTACAATGAGCGGCCCGTTCACTTTACTTTTTGACTTGTTTGGTTTGCTAGATTGTTTAGAGAACATCTTGATGATTTCTAAGGAGTGTATTTGTCTAATAGTTGCTTTAGTAAGAGTATTATTGTTTTCAAATTCAAGTAGTGAATGGTTATTCAGTTTTGTTAAATAATTTAGCATTGTTAAATGAGGGCAATTTGAAGCATCTCACAGTTTAAAACTTTTAAAACATTCATTTTGTGTGTGTTTGTGAGCATATGTGTGTACCGCATACACATGCATTACTCATCTTAACCCCTCAAATTTTAACTGAAATTTAAGTCCAGCCTTTTTTGATCTCACTGAAGGGGGGCGGGACCTTATTGTACATTAACTTCTGCTTTTTGGGCCATCCAGAGGTTTACATCCTTATTTCACCTAGCTTTGCTATTATTTTACACATTGTGTGTGTACTACACATTGATATGTGGAAGTCAAAGGACAATTTTCGGAATCAGTTTTCCCCTTCTGTGTGGGTTCTGGGGCTCTAACTGAGGTCATCAAGTGGCAGAAAGCACCTGTACTCAATGAACCGTCTTGCTGGCCCACACCTTTTCTTCTTATTAAGTCTGTTGCTCTTATATAAGAGATGTCCTATGAGTTCAGCAATACAGTGGGTTATTTGAGGTCTGATATGTGTGACTGATATTAGTACTGTAAATATTCTTTAAATAAAACTTTTATAATAAAACTTACAAAGGAGCATTAAATATATTTTTGATTATTATTATTATTATTATTATTATTATTATTACTGTAGTGCTTAGGACCAAGAATGAGGGTTGGGTAATGAAATTTTCTCAGGCTCTGCCTTCAGCAATGCAAACATGAACATGGAACTGTTTCTGAACTCCACTTTCCTTTAGGGAATATGGAGACAGTCCCCATATCAGAGGTTATATTAAAGAACCACTGGAACTCTTTGTAGGGGTTTTAATTCACTATAAAGAAATAAGAGGGGTTGGGACTGGAGAGGTGGATCGGTGGTTACTTTGCTGTAGAGGACTTGTATCCAGCATATGCATGGTGACTTATCACTGTCACTCCATCTGACACCCTCTTCTGGCCTCTGTGGGCACCATGCATGCACACGGTGCACATATATACAATTAGGCATATATCTAAAATGAAAATAGATCTCTAAAGAAAAATGTGATGAGTTATTTAATGAGTTAATGAGTCATAGTTGTTTATCTTCAACTTTAGGAATATTTTCTTGAGGCTGGAGAGATGGCTCAGTGGTTAAGAGCACTGGCTGCTCTTTGAGAGGACCTGGGTTAAATTCCCAGCACTCACATGGTGGTTGAAAACCATCTGTAACTGTAGTCTCGTGGGATCCAATTCCTCTGTTTGGTGTGCAGACATACATGTAGACAAAATACCCATACACATCAAATAAATATTTTTGAAAAGAAAATTTTTCTTTAGTTTTCTAGATACCTGATTTTAAAAAAAGCTGAAAAGATGGTTATTTATCTGTGCGTGAGGAAAAATAAGAATGTATTCATTCCTTTGTATGTCTCACTGATTAAACCTGCTTGTGTCTTCTTGTGAAAAGCCTTGGGTTGCTTGCCTGTGTGCTTGGCTTCTAATCATATTTATTACCCTCTTGTCAGCTGGAGATGTTAGCTTTCCTTTCAAGACCATGAATTATATGGCTGCATGTTGCATCGACTCAGAGACACATCATTTTCTGTTTATGGAAGGAAAAGCTGCTTATGACCAGTCCCCATGTAGTTGAAATCAGCAGGGTAAAGCCCAGTCTGGTCAGGAGGTTCTGGTAAGGGAACAGAATTCTTCAGGCAGGAAACATAGTCAGTACAGTTCTAGTTTCAATCAAGATATTCCTCTGCTTTCAAATATTTAGACTGGTCAGCGATTAAGTTAGACAAATGTATTAAGTTAGACAAAACTTTATTCTCTCCAGTCTGAGAATGCACAACAGTTCCAGTAACTGTGTAAATACCATCTCGTTTCAGTCCTATTGGCATTTTCATTATATGAAATTATGTTGATTTCGTATGTCTACTAACTTGAAGTTTTTTTTTTTTTCTATTACTTTCAAAATACAGCATAGGTTCAAAGACAGTATGATGGAGCATCTTATGGCGAAAGATGTCACAAAGCTAGACATTGACCATCCAGAAGGAAGTGTCACTGGCACATAAGAAAGAATGCAAACAACTTTTTACAAAGGTGTTACCTGGCATTGTGCTGAGGACCAGGAGAAGTCAATTTGATGAGTGTCTAGAGAAGCACATGGTTGAACAACTTTTAACTTTTTGGACACATTTATTTGACAAATCTTCCTTTATAGAAGTCAAAGAAAGTTAGTGTAGAGAAAGGAACTAGGAGCTGAAAAAAAAAAATTTTATCCCTGCACATGGGTTTTTTGGCTAAATTTGAAGACCAGTGTTGCTAATATTTCATGAAATCTTCATGGATGTTTAATGCCAGGACTCAAGAAAGTATAAAAAGGGATTTGATTCTCTTACATGAAATGGGGTAGTCAGAGTAAAATTGTTGAGTGAGTTATACCAGTTGAAGGCATATATTTCATCTTGGATTTTTTTTTCTTTTTCTTTACAGCCTCACTGTGTAGCTCTGGCTGTCCATAAACTTGATGTGCAAACCAGGCTGACCTCAGACTCATAGAGATCACCCTGACTGCTCATCTTGGATTTTACAAGAAGAGAAAATGAGGGTCAGCTATGACTTTATATTGTTGGTAGACTTTAAGTCGCTGTGTTTGTTTAAAGCTGAATGGAGGTCTTGAGAGGTGACTTGCCAATTAACAGCACTGGCTGCTTTTCCAGAGGATCTGGCTTCAAATCCCCGCAACCAAGTGGTGGTCACAACCATCTCTAACTGCAGTCTCAGGGGATCGATTCAGTGCCCCTTTCTGGTCTCTGTGGGCACCAGGCATGCGTGTGGTACACATATATACATGCAGACAAAACATTCATCCACATAACATGAATAAAAGAGTAAAAACATAAGTTGAATGGAAACTTACTAGTTCATGCCCTGAGCTAAAGAAGTAGAGAAAGACATTGCTCTCGTCTTCCGTTGCGCAGCAGCGCCTTGTTCTGTGGTGGTTTAGAAGGATCTCCCTGAGTCCTTCCCACCAGCCCCCTCCCCTGCTGGAAGCAGCTCTGCTGCATCAGCTGGGCTAACCGACCCCCTCTTCCCTTTCTTCACTTCTTGCTGTTTCTTCGTTCACTTCAGTATCCACATTCTGTACTTCAGAATGACTTAAAGGCAACATAATCTGGTTTACTTTGGTCTGTGTTTCCTTTCTAATCTGCATCAGAGCTTCAATTTTCATATACAGTCTGTGGGTTCAGAGATGTCTGTCCATCCTCCTCGCTGTATGCTCCTGTAGCATGGAATCTGTTGGATTTACTTAACTTTATCCCTGGGATGTAGTCTGGCCTTACTGGGTAGTATTGAATCCAGGTGGCTCCCGAGTGATGGCGAAGACAACAGAGATACCAACCTAGGTCAACTTTTGAGAAAAATGAAGAAACCTTCAAAATGTGTGAACAAAGACACAGAGGAGTGCCTGTTCAGGGTGTCAGCTTCTGTTTGTGTTGAGAGGTTTTGAGAAACGGAGATAATGGAAGCATCAGCCCCAGTTGTTGGTAAATAACGTAGCCTTAGGACACTGTAAGCACTAGGGAAGGAATCATTGAAGGACTTTTGGAGAATTTTTGACTAGAGACCCTAACTAAGACAGGCTTTCCCAGTAGGAGACAAAAATTAACAAAACAAATGAACTCAGAATCCTCCCTCTCCCCTCCCTCCCTCCCCCTCTCTAAGTGGACAGTATATTTTACAAAATTAAGAGAAAAACAAACAAACAGCTATAACTAGTTGGGAACCCTGTCCACAAATACTAACAAGCTCTCAGGTTGGTCATTCTCACGAGTGAGAGATAATCTCACTCATTAACCATTAGTAACTGTGCTAGTTTGGTTTATGTTGATATCATTAAGAATAGGATCCAGGGTCTGGAGAGGTGGCTCAGGGGTTAAGAGCACTGAATGGTCTTCCAGAGGTCCTGAGTTCAATTCCCAGCAACCACATGGTGGCTCACAACCATCTGTAATTGGATCTAGTGCCCTCTTCTGGCCTGTACTGTATACATGATAAATAAATAAATCTTAAAAAAAAAAAAACTAGGATCCAAAAAGCAACTTGGAAAGTAAAATATTAATTTGATTTATATATGTCAGGTCACAATCCACTGAGGGAAACCAAAGCAGGAACCTGGAGGCAGGAATTGAAGAAACCATGGAGGTACAGTGCTTACTGGCATGCTCTCAATAGCTGATTGTCTCATATAACCCAAGACCACTTGCCTAGGGACCACACAGCTCACAATGGGCTGGGCCCTTCCACATCAATCTTCGATCAAGGAAGGCCACTACAGGCCTGCCTACACACCAGTCTAATGAGGGCACGTTCTTAGCCGAAGTTCTCCCTACTCAGATGACTATAGCTTGTATCAAGTTGACAAAAACAACCAACAGTAATCTTGTTACCATCCCATGAGGTCACTGATCAATTGTATAGATTCTTTGTAAAAGCATCTATGCAAGTTCTTGGCTTATTTTTAGGTGATTTTTTTGTTGTTGAACTGCAGAAATGTTTTGGGGGTATTCTGTTTATTTGTTTATTGATTTTATTTTGAGACAGGGTCTCAAAGTTGGCCCGGTACCTGCTATGTAAACCAGACTGACTCAACTTTTATGTATTCTGGATAATAACCTTATCAGGCATGAAGCCTAGGTTCTTTTATAATTTATTTTCCTCCACACCAATTTTCTCAGAGTTGGCTATATATAGCACAGACATACATTTTGAGTTGAATCTTCCTTTCTTTTTTCTTTTTTTTTTGAAAAATAATGTTATATTTTGGGTCTGTGATTGCCTCCCAAGGACCATGATGCTAAAAGCATGGTCACCAAGCTGGTGAGATGGTTTGGTGGTAGTGCAAGCATGAGAGCCTGAGATCAGAGCCCACAGAAAAGGAAGTTGATTCGAGTAACCAATAGTGGGGTATCAGAGCCAGGGGAAGCCCTCAACTGTGAGCCAGATCTGCCAAGAAGACATCCTGTTCAAAAAAATCCAGCAGAGAGAGACAGGAAGACACCTGAGTTAACCTCTGTCCTCCACAGGCACATACTAGAAAGCATAATCACACACAGTGTACACCCACACATTATAAACAAATGGCCAAAGAATGCAGTGCTATTGAGGAAAACATCAACCTCTATAGGGTAGGCCCCAGCTGGAGGAAGTAGGCCACTGTAGGTAAGCTTTCAAAGAGGTCATGCATTCCTAGACCATTTCTGTGTGTGGAGTGGGAGGAAGGGTGGGTGGGTGGGTTAGAAGAGAGGTTGCTTGGTTGGAGATAGGTCTCATTATGTAACCCAGGCTGATCTAGAACTCTCTATAATAGTCCAGGATACCCTTAAACTCAGAGATCCACCTGCTTCTGACTCCGTCCCCAAGTGATAAGATTAAAAGTGTGCACCACTACTTGGGGCGGTGGTTTTACCTCCGACCAAGTATAAGACAAGCATCCTCGTCTACCATGGTGCTCTCACTTCCACAACATTCTGCTGGACCAAAGTCCTAGAAGCAATTTAGTCAGAACTAAAAACTCTAAAACTGTAAGCCAAAACCTTGCATTTTAAAGTTTTCTCTGGTTACTCTCTCTCTACATTTAAATTAGAAACAATCTTGTTTTACATATCAATCCCAGTTCCCTCTCCCTCCCATCCTCCCATGCCCCCCTCCAACCCCCATCCCACCTCCTCCTCATCCATTCTGGAGATGTTATCTTAAATCTGTCAGAATGGCTAAGGTCAAAAATACTGAGGACAGTTTATGCTGGAGAGGATGTGGAGTCAGGGAAACACTCCTCCACTGCTGGTGGGAGTGCAAACTTGTACAGCCACTTTGGAAATCAGAATGGTGGTTTCAAAGAAGATTGGGAATCAATCTACCTCAAGACCCAGTGATACCACTCTTTGGCATTTACCCAAAGGACACTCAATTATACCACAAGGACATTTGCTCAACAGTGTTCATAGCAGCATTATTAATAATAGCCAGAACATGGAGTTCTGCATCTTGCAGGCAACAAGAAGTGGTCTGAGACACTGGGTATGGCTATAGCATATATGAGACCTCAAAGCTTGCTTCCACAGTGGCATGCTTCCTCTAACAAGGCCATAACTACTTCAACAAAGCCACACCTCCTAATATTGCCATCTGAGGACATTTTCTTTCAAATCACCACAAAGGGATAGTCTGATAAATCTAGTTTTGTTCATGGCTTATCAGCTTCTATTAGAAATACTTAATGCAGTCAAAGGGGAAAAAAGATACATCTTCACAGGTTGCTATCTGCTTATTAAACAGAACACTTAGAAGCTTTGGTTTATTTGAAGTGGATTGAGTCTTGACCAAAGGTTGACATCTATTAGCATTTTGTTTTTGCATATATGAAATATATGAAAATAAAGTACTCACAGACATAGACACAGACACACATGCATGCACACATACACAGACACACAGACACCAGACACACACAAACATACTGTGTACAAACTAGAGTCACCTGAGACAAGGGAACCTCAGTAGAGGAATTGAGTCTGTGGGACATTTTCTTTATTAATGACTGATGTGGATGGACCTAGCCACTGTGTATATTGCTACCCTTGTGTTCAGGGCAAGTTGAGCAAGCCATTGAGAGCAAGCAAGGAGCGGTGTCCCTCCTTGTTTCCTGCCTCTTCTGCTTGAATTCCTGCACTGAATTCCCTCAGTGTTGGAGTGATCAGGACTTGTAAACCAAATAAACCCTTCCCTCTCCAAGTTGGTTTTCATCAGTGTTTCATCACAGTAGTAGATAGCAAACTAGGACATACTTTCATAAAAATTAAACTTAATGGCAGTATCATTGACAACTCAATTTCTTATTATTGTTTAGAGTATTTTTAAAGTTTGTATTTACCTATTTTTGTGTGCATGTGTTCCATGTGTCATGGAGCTCAGAGGACAACTTCAGTTGTTTTTCCTCCCACCATGTCAGTTTGTGGGATCCAACTAAGGTCATCAGGCTTGGTGACAAGTGTCTTTATCTGCTGAGCCATCTCATTAGTAGTACATGTTTGGAGTGTTTCACCCACCCCCAGGCAGGGTAGGGCCCTCAACAGGGACTCTGGAAAGTCATGTTTGGAGTGTTTTTGACTGAAGGCTTGACTGTTTAGAAAATATGCTGTTTAGGGCTAGCCTTGGGATTAGGAGTGCTCATAATTCACTTGGCCCTACTCCTAACTGGTTACTTTATTTATTGTTTATGTGTGTGTGTGTGTGTGTGTGTGTGTGTGTGTGTGTGTGTGGTTATTTTTTCCTGCAGAGGCTAGGCAAGCAAGTACTCTATCACCAAGTCATACTCCTAGTCTAATAATACAGATTTTTGTCCCCAAATTAATGTGACCAAGTTGAACATCATTTTTTTTTTTTATGTAGGACCTGCCAGTTGCAGTAGATGACAGGTTGGTTTGGAGGTAGTTATAGTAACAGTGTATTTGAAAGGTAGAGCATATTAATGCAGTTTTGAATGTTTAATAGGTAAAGTACTGCAGAAGCAGAAGTGGTTTAAACTTAATTGCAGCGTGAATGTAA